TTCCCCTCTTCTCCCCCCCGGGAGGAGACGACTAATCCTCCCTGTGAAAGGCCATAGGGAGTAGCATCACCACTGATGCTCCAATGAGGACCATAAAATGTTTTGAGTCATCCTCCTCCTTAGAAACGTCAAGGCGCCTCGAGACGCTTCCTTCGCCCGCCTCTTTCTTAGTACTATCCTCTTGTTCATGGGGGGGAACGGGACAGAATGCATCAACATACTGACATGACGGCCAGTCTAGAACGGGCACCTTGCGCTTAAGTCACGTCCGCTTCGTTCTGCAAGCTTCTCTTTGCAGAGAAAGATTTTTGTCTCCTTCTCTGGAAGCTTTGACCCCGGTAGTCCAGGAGCAGTGGCAAACGCCCTGCGGGACATGAGCACACCTCCTCTCATTTCTCTGGCCGCAAAAAAACAGGGCTCCTGAGAATCGGTAACCTTCTAGAAGAAAAACTTCCTGAAGTCCTGTGCTGAGGCTGCCCCAAGGTCGTCCCTGTGCGTCCACTCGAACAGAACATCGCAGCTTTCTTTGACAGAGTCCCCGGCGACGCTCTTCAGCATACTTACAGACTGAACCTCTTGGAACTCTCTTAGATAAAAGTCTAGAGCTGACTGCTGGACTTGGGGGCTGCTGCAGGAAAAGTTGCATGAGCTATTTCTTGCGTTGTACCTTATCAACGTTGGGATGACATCAGCTTTCTGAGAATTTGGCGTAAGCTCAGGCATCTCAAGACTGGCGTTAGCGTTCTGGACAGGACAGGTAACATTAATGCTTGCTAACGCTGTATCCAACATGTGTAGGTAGGATCTCATGTGCAGGGCGTTAAAAAAATGCTAGGACTACCAAGCAGGTCCCAAGAACGAAGAATGCCTGCTGGACGCAGCAAGGCAGGCCGGGTGCGTCTGCTGCACGAATAGTATTCGTGCTTGGACGCGAGACTTGAGAACCAGGACGGTGCGTCGCCATGTTGACGTCGGAAGCCGGGAGAAAGCTGAACAAACGCGCTTACGACGATCGGATATGCAGGAGACTCTGAATGGTCGGAATGGACGTACTGCGCGTTTCCGGCTGGCCGGGCCCGCTCAGCGCGGCCGCCGAGCCGGGCGGCCGCAAGGTTTTAAGCCTAGTTTATCACCGGCCGGCTGTGAATGTCTGTACACTTTTGCGGGGCCGCGCGCGCGCGGTCGACAACGTGGCGCGCGCAACCCGCGAGCGCTCAGCCGGTGAGGCGCTGCACTACCCTACTGTACGGATGTGCGCGCCTATCAAGCCTTATGAATGACTCTATCCAACGTCAATGGCTAGGGAAAGACGCTATTGGTGATCACACGAGGGCTTTCTGAGGTATTACATGTGCCCCTGGTGGCCCCTACCTTTCAAGCTGTGGCCGTGACTCACTTGTCAATCTAACATCAATCTGACATTAGACGGCGGATGCAGAAGTGCTGATAGTGAAGTGAATGCAAGCTCGCGTTGGGTTCTTTTCGCGGCTGGCACTAGAAGTTTTCCTCTAGATTCTTTATGAAATCCCTGCGCTTGATTCTCCTCCGTTGCCTGGTCGATACGGTTCGATTGAGACGAGCTGCCCACTTCCGCGTCGTCAAATTCAATAAGCAGCTCCTTATCTCCTCTCGGATTATGAATTGATCACCTTTGAAAAGTGTTGAGGAAACTTGATTGTGTACTAGTAGTTTTCAGTCCGCTCCGTTCTAGAAAACTCTCTCCGTTACATATTACCTCTTTGAGTGCGTTGACCCGTTCCTCATTCAAATAACCGTTCACTCTTCCGAAGTTCCAATTGTCATCTGTCTGCCCAGTATGAGCTGATCGATTGCTGTCAATCCTGCAGGCATGTGTCACCAGAAAATTGCGGATTGCGTTTGTTCTACCACTAAGCACGCATCAGGGGCTTCTGATGACGGTCAAGATGACGCAAGATTTCCAGAGAGAAGAAGCAACTGGCGCAAGCGGATAGTCGCGGTCAAACGCTTTCATGCAATCAGCAACGTCTGGCAATTCAATCCGTTGTAGACGTCCAGCCGCTGGGCACTTCTCCAAGCATGCGTGTTTTGGCAACAAACTAAGGAAGCACGACCAGGGATACCGTTGGACTGCACCGCGCATGAAGATCTGAACTTCGCGATCTGGACATGTTACATCACAAACTATGTATATTATGCATGAGATAACTATCCTTGTTGACGTATATCATGCGCGCTGCGCAGATCGCACTCCAAAGCTGCTATCTGATTGCAAATCATTTCATTAAGGTAAAGACCTTATCAGCAACAGCCTGCACGTACCGATAAGTGAAGGCCAACCGTTCCTTCCAAGTCCTAGCTACCAGACGCGGTTATGTTACGTAACCCTGCGTGGCTATCACAGGGGACAACTACGCCTACTAGTACATGCAACACTGCAACCAGAGTATCGTCCAGAGCCGCCCCTATCAAACAGAGAAGACCTGTAAGGTTATTGCTTCCTATTTGCTGCCAGTGAAAGCAAACCGAGCGGTCCAATGTAAAAGAGGAATATAAAGCCAAACAGGCCCCCAAAGATCACATTCTCCCAACACTCCCGGGCCGGGTCTCGATCACAGAAGGCAAGGCGCCTCAAGAAGCTCATGTCTCCCGCCTCTGCTTTGTCGCCGGCGAATGGAAGGCTTTCCTCAATTTCAAAATCTCGATTGCTTAGGTGGCAGGTCGCATCAACGTACCGACAGGACGGCCAGATTCCTAAGAACTGGCACCTTGCACCAATCTCACGTTCGTTCCGTTCAGCGATCTTGTCTTTGCAGAAGAAGACTTTTGTCTCTTCGTGCGACCTGGGAGCTGTCAAAAGGTTCAGGCTATGTAGAACAGCTGCGCTTCCAGAGAAGCGATGCATCATCTCTGTGGGCGCAAAGACACAAAGCTCGTGAGGATCATCCAACCCCCGGAAAACAAACTTCCGAAAGTCTTCTCCTGTGGCTGCCCCCAGTTCGTCTCTGTGCGTCCACTTGAACACAACATCGCAGTTCTCTTCGACAGGGTCCGCGGAAACAATGTTCAGTAGAGTTACATACTGAACCTCTGGGAATCCTCTGAGATAGAAGTCTAGAGCTGACTGCTGAACGTGGGGGCTGCTGCAGGAGAAGTTACACGAGCCCTTCCCATTGTTGTTCCTGGTCATGATTGGGGGGTAGTAAGCCACCTGAGAACCTTGCGTAAGCTCAGGCATTTTGACATTGACATTCACGCCAGCTTCGTTAAAAGGACAGGTAGCATTGCTGCTAGCTGACGTCACCAGTACCTGCTTGTAATGGCTCAGAAACAGGGCGTAGTGGCAACCCCCAAGACTGCCAGGCAGGTCGCCAAGACAAGAAAGGCGTGCTGGAACCAGGCAGGCAATGGAACGTTTGCTGTCAGCAGGTCACGGAGAGTTGACTTTGGACGCGAAGCTTGAACAGTTTGCGTTGCCATGATGTCAAAGGAGAGCGAAGCTGAACAAACGGAAGCGTTGACTGTCGAATAGTGACTAAAACTTCGAAGGAGAGTTCAAGTGCTTTGCGCTTCGATCGAGTCATGCGGCCGCTGATATTGCGCGGCGGCCGCGCTAACGGCCTCGAACTCCGGGTTTTTCGAAGGGTTTTGCTATGCGACACCCGGCGCCGCGGGCTTCAAAGCCTGCTCGAGGTTGAACTTAGCTGCATGGCCGGTCGCAATGCATACGACTCGATCGCACAATTGTCCCATGCAGACTACATGTAGCTTCTACTTCAAGTTCGATCAAGTTCCAAGCTTTCCGAAATTGGAAAGCGCTCAAGCGGGTTCAATTCCAGGTGTGAGCGCCTTTGGGTGCCACTTTGAATCTTACATGCCAGGGCTGCAGATGAAGGTGCACTTGGATTTTGAAGAAGCATGGAAGCATGCAGACAACGACATGGAGAGCCCGTCCCAATTGGTGCCGCAGACAAAAGCATGCGCCAGCAGCGCTGCTTTGATTGGGAAACCTGTCTTCAACGATCCTTCAAGCAGCGACATCGTCCTCACTTTGCAGAATCAGGCACAGCAAATTGGCGGAGCCAATGCCACTAGGAGCAGGCCGCTAGAGCTTCATCTTCACCAGGACCTTCTTTCCACCAGCAGCCCCTGGTTTGCGAGAATGCTAGCCAAAAGTGACAAGAAGTCGGGGCGTGCATGGTTGGATGACACAAGTGGAAGATCATCTTACATCTTGGATGAACAGCTTGGGGATTGTGGGAGCCCCCAGGATTGTTCCATGGCACTCCAAAAGCTGTACCATAAGGCTCCAGGGAATGTCCAAAAGTCCCCGGTTCATAGCTTCTCAAGTTTTGAGGAAGCCCTCCAATGCCTCAAACCTGCTCAACGGCTAGAGCTTAACTCAGTCTTCTCTTCTGCGGTGCGTTTTCTAAAGAGCATCCCCTGGTCTCAGAGTCAAGAGCAAGCCCTCTTTGCAGTCCTGAATGAGATTAAGCCGTCGAGCTTGGTTGACAAGCTGT